TCCATATGAATGTGGTTGCATTCTTATTCGTCATGGTCAATTACATAAGTCAACATTTACTCAACCAGCTGCTTCATACTTAACTTTAATGGATGGTGGCATAACACCAAGTGAAGGTGAAGTATTTTTTAGTGATTATGGTTTAGAATTATCAAGAGGCATGAAATCACTAAAAGTTTGGATGACGTTAAAAACATACGGCATTGAAAAACTTGGTCAAATTATGGAGCAAAATGTTGATCAAGTTAAATACCTTGTCAGATTAATCGAACAGCATTCAAATAAATTTGAAGTATTGGCAACAGGTCCATTGAATATAGTTTGCTTTCGATGTATTGTATCACGTTCAAATGATATCGATTTGGAGATGTTGAATAAATTAAATAAACAACTGTTAGTTACTATTCAAGAACGTGGAATAGCAGTTGTATCCCCTATTGCTATTGATAATCATAAATTTGCATTGAGGATGTGTATTACGAATCATCGAACTAAAATATCGGACATGGATAAATTTATGGAACAATTGATTCAATTGGCTGATGAACTTTTAAACTTATCCGAATATTCATGTTTAAATAATTGAAAAATCTCATTATTTATTAATATAAATAAAGTTGTAAAAGAATACAGTGTGAACTTTTAGAAGTTAGTGAACAGAATGTTAAATGCGAATGTACTCAAAGCAAAGATGCAGTAAAAAACATATGCTGAATGAGATAAGGAAATCGATGATGCATACCATAACAGAGTGTATCCATGTCGCTCAAACTATCAATTAACTGCAGTTCTTCTGCTTAATTATCTTTGTGTTAATGCATAACTATTTTTAAACACTTACAAAAATGTTCGATTTCTGTCAAAATCGCATCCTCTCAGAACTCTGAACGGGCTCAAGCCGTCTGTAGCAACTAGATCGACTGTTGTTGGTTAGCCTTTGAGTTTGATTAATTATTAAGGATGACGCCATGAAAACACTTATTAGCTAGAAGAATTAACCAAGAGAAGAAAGTGTGGCGCCATGTGACTCAATATACTGTGGTATATCAAAATCGACTTCTTTGAATTGAAATCGATCTTTTCAAGACTGGAAAAATTAATTTAATAGGCAGATGATTGGAAAAACAACTTGATAAAAGAAGAACTAAACCGTTCGAACTATTAGTTTTAATGATAAATTGGTTCTTCTACAGAATATACATAATCTATTCACTAATTACTTTGATCATACATTAACTTGCTTGATCTTATAATGGAAAAATTTATTTGTGGATAACGTTGTGTGCGTATGCTGCAGAAACACCGAAAAATTGATAACATGGATAATGAAAATAATAAGTCAACTTTGATGATATCAGCACAAACGTTATTTTGATTTGCTTTATTGTTGAGAAAACTATTACACGATGAATTTTTAAATTTGTACTTATTTATTTATTTTGTAACATCTGAATAATGCCTAATTTTTGAAGAACACAAAAGCAAAAGAGTCACAATTTGGTTGAGAAGATAATAAAGTATTGAACCAAGTAGTGTGATATTAGCCAAAATTTTATATGTGAAATACTTACTAGTGAATAGTACTTTTATCTTTTGCATATACTAGGAATAAAGGAATATACTGCAGATATACTTTTTAATTTAAGCTATAGATGTATTTTTCTTTACTGCATATTTACTTTCTGATCATGTCTTATAACATGAAATGAGAGTATGAGAAGAAATCGAATATTTTCAGATTCATATTGCATTCAATTTTCTTAATATAAATATACAAATGTTTCAATTTTTATGTCTCATTTATATAATGTTGGTAACTTTAGTAATTTATCTTTGTCAAAAAATAGGTCCTCGTCTTACTTCGTATATGGTGTCTGGAAGAAAAAGCCCAATATTTTCATTCGAGTTCAAATATACATTTAAGTTTAAACTCCATAAAAAAAAATAATCCTTTTAGGTAGATTTCTGTAAGGATATAGAATGTCATACTAGATATCAGAAAATGAATGGTATCAGTTCGCTCATGAAGTTTTCTTCTTCAGTTTGAACGAGTATTTTCTAATTTTCCGCTCGAAATCATAGCGATAGAAAATGACAACTTATAATGTGTACATCGCTTGAAGTAGAGAAATAGAAAATCAACTCGCGAAGCTCTGGATTAAAAAGTTGACTTTAATAAGCCTTAGTGAATTATGTCAACGGATGGCATTACACTTCATCCTATTGATTGAGTCTTTAAAGTAATGATTATTTTTGAGACATCAGCTTCAATCAGCAAGCAAAGTTGAAAAATAAGTTAAAAAACCTAATGCAGCTGATACAAACAGTTTCAGTGCGCTCGTAATTATGAGCAGGTATGATTTGGATAGAAATTCGACAATTCTCATGGAGTGAAATATTAAAAGAAATCAAGCAGAAGAACTGCGTTTAACTACCGATTTTCGACTGTTCATTGCAGCATGGGTAGTTGATGACTAAACAAATAATGGACTTGTTTAAAAATTGAAAGAATTCAAGTAGGAAATGTCATGTTCCATATGATGATTGTTGGAAATTTTTTATTTAAACGTTCAGTTAAAAACAGTTTCAAGATTTGCTTCAGTAAGTATAGAAAAAGATCTATTTTGATCAAGTCACACACATACATTCACACTCAAACCCCCACTGATTTTCAAAAAAAGAGTCAGTAACGAAATCAACATGGCCTCGAAGAGAATTCAAAATAGTGTTTTTTTCAAATTTTTTGAAAACAATGGATTTATTATTCCAGTTGATGGAGATCATTTGGAATTACGTTTTCTGATGAAAGTACACGGAATAAAATATTAGAAAAGCCTCTGGTAATATGATGAAAAGATAGTGAAGACCACTTGAAGTACTGTAGAATGACTGAGATTTTATTTTTTGTTAACCTTTTTAGAAAATCCTATAGAATGAGATCATTATGCAATATCCTACTTAGAAAACTATTGTCCTATAATTAGTTTTGATTCTATTGTCACAAAAATAATATTTACAGTGTAGATGCCTGCATGAGTTCCTTTGAGCTTGAATCATATAAAAATTGGGAGAGAATGCAGTTATGTTAAAGTTATAGTTGTATCTTAAGATTGTATTAAACGCTAGTAATTCGGTATTAAAAAATCGTTGGTGTCAGATTGTTTTTTGTCACCCAAGTCCGGCTTCATCCTTTTGTTGCTATCTTAGTGAACTCAGGTAGTGATAGCAATTTAAACTGTATTTCATTGAGTTCTACACTATGTTTGACATCAGTCTATTCAACTTCATCGACATACTTCTTTTCAGGTTCTAGTAAAATAATGATGAAAAAGTATTCGTAAGTAAAAGCCAAGAAAATAGCGATAATTTTTCCATAATCAAATTGATGTTCATCATTCGATTGAACAACTGTATGCAAAGGAAACGCACCATCCATCAAGAACTTTCGTACTTATTGTTCTTTTCTTTAATTACTAAGCACTAGTGTCTGCATGTATTGGTTCTCTTTTAAGCATTCGCCGACCTTTGTGGACGGCCGTTCTTCATTTAAAACCTTTCATTTAGTGAGAGATCGTACATGAGGATTGGGATGGTACTAGTTCATAGCCATAAAACTAAGAATATATTGTAGTTCTAATGAAGAACCAGGAAAATTTTCATAAAGATCTCGATGTTTCATAAAATCTTCAAACATCACATCAGGGTTTTAAGCACTTTTCCAAATCAAATCTCTTGAATGTCATTTACGTTGCTGAAGTTTTGACAAACCCTATAGTCCTAACAAATTTTGTCTCGTTTTTATCCTTTGTGACTTTTCACTTCTCTTTGACTGGAAATAACCTGATAATCTTGAAAAATGTATAAGTCATCGTAATCATAAAAACTCACACATTGTTCTCTACCAATTGAAGAATGAAAACACAAATGAGAGTATCTTGCTATCGATGAACAGACAGATCACGTCTCACTTGGATTCACGGAATTATCATTGATTACTAGCAAAACAGTGTCCTTGTCTCTATTTGATATATATATCTTTTCGATTGGTATCTACTCGAAGATTTCGCAAAAATTTTCAAGGTGGTATTAGACAGCTGTCTTCGATGATTTCTATTCTCTCACCTTTTCACAAGTGTCCTCTACAGATGATGTTAAAATATCGTCTAGCTGTAGCTTTGATAGCTGATGAGGCTGAAGAGACAATATTGGCTAACTGGTAGGAAATGCGTGCCTCGAATGAAAGATATTGTACTAATGCAAGCTCCATGAGATATATAGGTACGATATCCTAAACACCTTGTACACACATTCGTTGAAAAAAGGCATCCATTGTTATAGTTGTATTTCACGAAAGGATGTAGGCTGGAATGGGAACAGGTTCGGTAATTAAAATGACAATCATATATAATCGTCGACTGAAAAAACTCGAAAAATAATCGATCATAATACTATCAATAAGAGCTTTGCAGCTTCCAACTATTATGGTGGCAGTAGTAAAGCCTGGCGAGAACTTCAACTGAGAAGCAAGACATGTTGGATATAGATCTTGAGACTCATGTATTAGAAAATTGAACCCAGCCATCATTAAGACGAAATATGTGAACATTGTGTTATGACCTGTATCTTCTTCAGATGCAGTCATAAGGGTTTTCCGTCTTTTATACATATAAGCTTGTGCTCTGCTTCTTTTCTCTTTTGTTAGTCATACACCAATGACTTTCCATTTCTTTCTTATATGTTGGCACTTTCTCATTCGTTCTTCTTTCTTTCACGTTGTCTTATGGATATTTCCCTCCTTTGTTCATTGTTTGTTATTACTCTATATATAGCGTTACGTTGTTGTGTGAAAGAGAGAGAAATATAGATAGACAGATAAAAAGTAGAGTATAGTTGGATAAAGATCTCACAATTGGTGCACTAGCCGATCTTACTAACAATTCAACAACCTAGTAAGAGACCCGGAGTCATATATGAACGAAAAAAAGCATCATACTCGAAGTATGGCACAAACACAAGAATTTCTATCATTAACTGATTCGGAGCGAAAAATCAAAACAGATGACCAAGACAAAAATGGAGAAGAACAAGAAGCTAATCAACAACAGCACAAAATCGTGTCATTGTTGCAAGAACTATTGGCCAAACAAAATTTGCTTACACAAGATATGGCAACACAAAAGATCACAGTTAATAATCTTTCTCAAGCAGTTGAAGCTTTACAAGGAACCAAAATATCGTATTCAAATATACCATTAACTAATCCATCTTTACCACCAACAACAACTTCTGTCTCAGAGCTAACACCATCTATGATGAAAAGTGTTGAACTTAGCCTCAAGGAACAAGCTTCAAAAAAACTGCAATCGAAACGGATCGATCAACTACTTAATTCTATCCCATTTTCTGGATCCAATTCACAAGAGGTTTCAGACTGGATCGAATATTTCGACGATAAGTGTGATCAACTCCAACTAGAAGATGTTCAACGTTTATCCGTGGCTATTGATCTTCTCACAGGTAATGCAAAACTATGGTATGACACACATAAGCATACCATTGATGATTGGATAACACTAAAAAACAAATTAACGACCTACTTCAAACTTGTAACTGGTAGTGATCAATTTCAACTGGAACAAAAGCTCTACAATCGACGACGACAACCAAACGAGTTGGCAATTGATTATTGTCACAGTATCCTTAAACTCTGTTCAAAAGTTAATAAACTAATGGATGAAGAAACTCGACTCAAACATCTCACCAAAGGACTCAATCCAGCAGCTCAATTACACATGGATTTGACGAAACCTGGTACTACTGAAGAGTTTTTTGAAGCTCTTATCAAGTACGACAAATGGCAAGAAGAAGAAAAATCCCAACAGAAAATTATGACATCGTCTGATCAGCGTAGAAATATATCAACAAGAACAATGCAACATTCTGTAATACAACGAGAAAAATATTCTACAAATCCAAGACAACAACAACACAATTATTCATCACAACAATATCAATCCCATTATCCAACACCTGATCCAACTCAGATGCAATACAACCGCGACAAAAACTACAGTGGATGTTGGTCATGCGGTGCTATGGACCATTATCAATACAATTGTTCAAAAAACTACTAGGGGAAGTGCGTGATGGTCGCATTTCCTTTTCAAAATCACAACCATCACTTATAACAATTAGTACACTTGTCAATGGTAAACCAATTCACGCCATGCTTGATACAGGAGCAACTACATCACTCATCTCACAATCTGAACTGAATCATATTCCACACATAACAATTCAACCGATTCAAACAATGGCAACACTCGGTGATGGACAAACCAAAATAATGGTTAATAGTGTAGTCAAATTAAATGTCACCATCAATCATATTACCACCATCATTACAGCTCTTGTGGTCGAGTCATTAGCTGCTAATTTAATTCTCGGCATGGACTGGTGCAACTCAAATTATGTGAACGTGAATATTGGTAAAAAACAAGTGGAGATCAATCACCCACAGCATGGAACTACAACAACACCATTCCTTGAAGTTGGCTCGGTCGAGGTTAGACTCGCGGAATGTATCACACTATTGCCATATCATGAATACATTGTCAAAATGCATGTGCCTATTTCTTCTGCTACTCTGGTCTCATTTACATCGGACTTGAAAAAGTGTACTAAATTAAATATTCAGGTACCTGATGCTCTTGTTGAAATAAAAGATTTTTCATTTTATATGTGCGTTTATAACTCTAACAAATACGCCCACACAATGGCTGCTAATACGCAACTGGGATCAATACATTATCAGTCAAATGATGAAATGATGTACAACATATTAAACTCACCGAAACCATCAAGCATGACAGAACAAAGTGTACTCCTAAATTCGATACAAACAAATGAACAAGACGAATCACCCAACGCATCATCACTGGACGATGTTCTCCAAGAATTAGTGACACACATTGATCACAAACATCACCGTAATGATTTTCTTAATATTCTTCGACAAAATGGACGCGCATTTGACACGTCAAAGATGACCAGAGCAAATACAAAAATTCGTCATATCATTAATACAGGCGATCATCTACCCATAAGCGTTCGACAATATTACAAAACGGTTCAACAAAGAAAGGAAATACAGCAGGAAGTTGGAAAATTGCTCGATCAAGGCATCCTTCGACCATCCCACTCACCGTGGTCATCCCCAGTCTTGTTAAAGAAGAAGCCAGATGGTACCTATCGATTTTTGGTTGACTTTCGCCGACTCAACGCAATTACCAAGAAGGATTCTTACCCACAACCATCGGCTGAAGAACTTCTACACCGCCTTGCAGGGCATCGATACTTCACAAAACTCGACTTGAAATCTGGTTATTTTCAGATTCCGATAGATCAATCAGATATCCAGAAGACGGCTATAGTTACTCAAGATGGTCTATATGAATTTACAGTACTAGCCCAAGGACTTATGAATGCTCCGCCTACATTCCAGCGGGTGATGAATGAGTTACTAGCAAACGGACGATGGGATTATGTGGTCGTCTATTTAGATGATATTGTCATCTTTTCAAAAACAATTCAACAGCACAAACAACATGTGGCCGACGTTATCTCAACACTCCACAAAGCCAATTTTCAAGTGTCACCGCGCAAGTGTTCAATTGCCGTCGAGAAAATTGAATTCTTAAGCCACATCGTTACATGTGACAAAGTTGAACCATCACCAGACAAAATTAAAGCAATTGTTGATATTGCACCACCAAGAACTCTTTCACAAGCCAACAAATTTATCGGTAAAGTTGGTTATTATCGTAAATTTATTCGTGATTTTGCAAAAATTGCCGCGCCGATACACAAGGTCACCAATAAGACCCGAACAAAAAAACACGAATTCCTTTGGGGCCCAGCACAGCAAGATGCTTTTGACAAGTTTAAATCAATACTGACAACTGCACCGCTGTTCCTCAACTTTCCTGACCGATCAGTACCATTTATCTTATGTACAGATGCAAGTGATTTAAGAATTGCTGGAGTACTCAAACAAAACACATCTGATGGTCTGAAGATTTGCTACTACAAATCAAGATTACTCAACAATACTGAAAGTCGATATTCAACCACAGAACGGGAAGCTTTAGCAATTTACTGGTGTCTCACAGAATTGCGAAATTTCATTGGAGATTCCGATATCACCATCGAAACAGATCACAAACCACTTGTCAACATGCATAAGAAAAACAATTACGGAAACAAAAGAATAGATAATTGGCTCATCTCTCTACAAGATTTAATACCACAAATTACAGAGATTAAATACCGTCGGGGCATCGACAATATTGGACCTGATTATCTTACTCAATATGAAACAGTTGACATGAATAATCACAACCAGTCGCTCTCTGCTATAACTCGATCAATGACAAAACAGGCAGTCTCGAGTCCTCTAACACCGCCAAGGATGCCAGAACAAAATCCAACCACACCACTGCCTCTACGTGCATCCACACCAATGATAGATTTTGCTTTGGAAAATATCAAAACTGAGCAAGATAAAGATATTGATATTCAACTCATTATCGCAGATATTCATGCTCAAAAGAAAAAGGACAACTTTATTCTTTACAACAAAATTTTATTTCGTCTTGTGGTCAAGAGAAAGCATGGTACCAAGAACAAAGTTCCATACTTACCGTCATCAATGATTCACGCCGTACTGAAAGCATTTCATGATCATCCAATGAGTGGGCATTTTGGAGTAAAACGCACGTTATATAAAATTCGTACTCGGTTTTGGTGGCCAAATATGCGTAAATCAATTGAGCATTACATCTCATCTTGTCAACAATGTATGAAATTCAACATCCTACGCAGTAAAACTCCAGGTCAGCTCAAATCATTTGATCCACCAACGGATGTATTTCAAATAATACATATGGATTTTTGGGGTCCAGTCCGCCCATCAGCACAAGGAAACCGATACGTACTAGTACTTACGGACAATTTATCCAAATATGTAATAGCAAAAGCGATGCCAAATAATACTGCCAAAGTCGCTGCAGAATTCATTATGAACGAATTCATTATGATACATGGCGCACCTGAACGACTCATCACGGACAATGGTGTACATTTTAACAATACATTACTAAAGACTATTACCACAACAATGCATATTCCTCATGTATTTTCAGCTTCGTACCATCCTCAAACGAATGGTCAGATCGAGCGATTTAACGCCACATTCTGTACACAATTGGCAAAGTACTACGATGAGAATAAAGATGATTGGGACGATTATCTTCAATCAGTGGTTTATGCCTACAATACCGGCATTCATGCTACAACTGGCTTTGTCCCGTATGAACTTGCTTTTGGGCGAAAACAGAAGAGCCCATTCGATCCTACATCAAAGAGCCTGACTTTAACTCGACCAGACGAGTTTTACAAATATTTACAAAAAACACGGCGAATAATTATCAAACAAGCTCAAGAAAACATACGTCGTCAACAACAATTAACAAAACAGCGATATGACAAACATCGCAAGGATATTTCTTACTCTATTGGTGACTTAGTGTTTCTTAAGGTATGTGCTAATCGCACCAAATTAGACGAACGATGGCTAGGACCTTACCGTGTGATCAAGAAAGCAGGTGAACAAAACTATTTGGTCGAAGACAGTCAAACTGGAAAAACTACGTGGGCTCATATAAGTCAGCTTCAACCGGTTGCGAAACGGTATGTTTGATCACAATTCATTCGAACTAATACAATAATGCATTGTCGCCATCAGCAACAGCGGTTGACGACGATGTGGCAGCGTCTCAACAGTATCAAGTATGGCAATATCAACAATATACGTAATTATTCCGTCGACATGGACAAACGAACTCGTGGTGTGGCAACGCGAGATTCTATATCAAGAATGGCTCACAAGATCAGCTGTTTCGCACTCTATTAATTTCGATGAAGTAAAGAAGAGATTGTGGCGTGGCAACACAAATCTTGCAAGAACACATCGTCCTTCCACAACGATTGTTTATCGTTCAATACGGCTGTTTCTTGATTTTGTTTCTCAGTACTTCTTATCTATTGTTATTTTTTATTATTATCTGTTGTTATATCTTCTATTATCAGTTGTTATTTTTCCGATGCGCGGGACGCGCATCTTTGTTGTTAGGGGGAGGTGTTATGACCTGTATCTTCTTCAGATGCAGTCATAAGGGTTTTCCGTCTTTTATACATATAAGCTTGTGCTCTGCTTCTTTTCTCTTTTGTTAGTCATACACCAATGACTTTCCATTTCTTTCTTATATGTTGGCACTTTCTCATTCGTTCTTCTTTCTTTCACGTTGTCTTATGGATATTTCCCTCCTTTGTTCATTGTTTGTTATTACTCTATATATAGCGTTACGTTGTTGTGTGAAAGAGAGAGAAATATAGATAGACAGATAAAAAGTAGAGTATAGTTGGATAAAGATCTCACACATTACTCAATAATTAACATGTGTTGAATGAATCGAAACCACGAATGCGTGCACACTCGAAACTTCATGGCCACCCTCACCTCAAAATTCAAAAACTCATCATGGAAGTCGGTTACAATAAGATTTAAGTTAGGGTCCGTGAGATCAACTCATTTCAAACGCAGACCATGTCTTTAGCTTAGATTAAATTTCGGAATAGTTATAACTCGACCGATGACAATATCTTCGAAAACGTTTTTTTTTTGACTGAAAGTCGACGGTCTCCGTATACTGTGTTTTCTCGAAACAAGCTTAACTTCTCGAGATGTGATGTCTATAAAACTATAGAAGAACAAGTTCTTAACAAAACTGCTTAGAATACCTTTTATATTCGCTTCATTCTCAGAGTGCTGAAACATACCTACGAAATACTCAACGCATTCTAAAGCTGTATCGATCTATGTCAAAGACATGTGATGTGTGAATCTGTATTTTTATGATTACGTGACATTCATCCACATTTAAGTGACAGCCATACCCACCTTTAAATGCTCTTACATGCATGACAGAACATCAGATAAATCACTGCAGAACGCTGGTGAAGGTGAATTTCTATGTCTGGAGAATATTAAGTGCGTTCACAACCATTACGTCTATTACACATGTGTATTTCATGAGAGCACGTGTGAACGAGTGTGATGCCGATTGACAAACTATAGGAATACGGATGATCACTGTCCATGAGTTGTCTGGAATTAAAATTTTCCGAGTTTCTCATTTTGTTTTAGAAATGAGATCAGAAATAAGCATAATATGTGTCACAGTTCTGAAAAGCCCATTGAGCACTGCATATTCATTTTGTAAAATCTCTCCATTATTTTAACATTGATTACAGTTTGGGCTCCATCATATCTCCAAATTTCTATTTTACAATGTACACCTAAAACTAGATTCGCAACTTTGCAGCATTGATTATGAAAATTTATCACTCAGTCTACGTGTATGGGTATAAGTATGGGCGTCGGTCTACGCAAAATCCTTATTAATCTTTTCTTTCCAACACTCACACCCATTAAAAGGAAAAAGAGTTAATCTTCGTTTTTATCAACATCACGATATATTGTATTAAATATTGGATAAACGTGATACAATTATTGAAAAAAAGCATGGTACTTAGCAAATTTACCAAAACGATCCTATTTATACGAGATACATCCAAGAGTGTGAATGTCACTGCGACTGTTGATGATTGCATGGTATTGACCCACACCCTACACCCACTTGAAAGCAAACCCTGTTGTTACGTAGATAAAAAGATTGAGCCCTGAGCAAGTTTCAGGAGTGAGCATTTACGAGAAACAAACTATTCTCTTACAAACCCCCCTTGCAAGAATGCCGAGGGATTCAAAAGTCGTCAGCAGCATTAGATAACATTTACACTTCTGAAAATACATATTTTGCTTTTCGGTTGAGTCAATATCGACTTCTTACGTGTGACAGTTCAAAATTGACAGAATTTATTTCAAAAATGATTATTGTGGAGGTGGAACGTTTTCCGGGAACTGTCCCATGACATTACCGGCTGGACCATATTGAGCAACAACAACTACTCGTCTACCATTATCGCTAAAAGCCACTCCTACACCCAAACTGCTCGTATTCTTCCAGATGACCTGAGTGAAATGACCAGTTTCCATCGAAAAGCCTGGATTATTGAAATCATAACTTTTGATTTCATCATACCAAGATTGAGTAGCATCCATACCTATGATAGTAAAAGTTGTTTTTTTCAAACAAGGCTATGTTTCAACTGACCAAGAGATTTATTTGTCAACGGCTCCGAACTACTCATTGTATATAAGTTTTCACCAAGATTATCACGATTTGTACTGTGTTCGAATAGATTATTTTCTGTCAAATATTGTGCGTAAGCCTGAGCTTTGCGCGTGATTTCATCTTTGAGTACCAGCGGAGGTACACCGTGACGAGCTCGAAATTCATTGTGACTATTTAAAGCTTGTATTTCCCATGCATTTGATGTAACATCAGCACTTTTTTGAGTTTTTGATAATGGTGTCGAAGTTTCCTCTAATATGAACATAGATAAATGGATAAATGGTAATGTTTTTTGTGAAGTAATAGCACTTACGATCAGTATCGATAGGTTCCATTTGACAGTTTTCAACGGTTGCAGTCGAACTGTTGCAGCCCATTATTTAATCAGTTCTATATCGATACTTAATCTTGAGAAATATCAAGTTTACGCGCGTTGATCTAGAACTAGGATCACGAGTTTTTGTTAACGAATGCAAAATAAGATGTTTATAGACTAATTGGAATGAGCATCGTGATTAGACTGAACATGATTATTATCTTAGTATTTCTGTATGTTCGTGCTCAGAGATAAAGTTTGTTGAAAAATTTCACTTTGTTGAAGAACGATCTAATCAGCTTTGATTTCATAGATCATAATCACTCACAGATTTTTTTCTGTTTTAACTAGCTACTGTTTCGTTTTTATACTAAATATTTTCTCTAAGTACTTGTCTTAGTAGAATATAGAATGTAATCTGTCAATACATTGATTAATTTCTCGCTACGATGGAAGAATTTCCTCTCGTTTGATGGTTTTTTGTTGAACAGAAAACTTCAAACAAAGACTTGACTGTTGCTATGTAACTAATGAAAAATGGAGTGAATTGTTGCGCCTTTCCACTCGGCAGTTACTTGAAAAATAAGTATCTTTTTTCTATTTTTCCTTCTCTGGTGTTATCATAAAAAGAAACAAAGCCTAAATATTTATATATACTTCTTTAGGATTGATATTCCTCTTATGTTCACTACTTCATTTATAAATATAATATTTGTATCCTACCAGATAATTTTCTCCTCGTATAACCTTGTTATATTAGTAGCAGAACAAAAAGCATGATGTAATTTTGTTTTGTCGAAACTAAAATTAGGAACATATCAGTGATGATACATGTTGATTTGTAGTATTTCATTAGCTACGTTTTTCTTCGCCAATATTTAATTTTAATGTAGACTCGTATCGGGTAAAGATTGTCATGTTTCTAAAAGAAAACTTATCAGAGACTCGATTCTCCGTCATATGTTGATTTTTGGACGAAAACCGAATGTAAAACTAATTCAAGTTATTTTTCACTGCAAAGCAATGATATAAAATGATTCGTCTATCCAAATTAGTGCATGGACAGTCTTCTTCCAATTCAATGTTAACATAGAGATCTAAATTGTACTTCGGAATCGTTTTATATATCGGTTTAGAGAATATGCTATATTTTAAAAAATGTTCAGAATATTCGTACGAAAAAATAATTAATATGTATATGGGATTATCTATACTTGCTTTATTATATACAAGATCCAAAGTAGGAGCAAGTTAGAAACAGAGTACGACCAGGTATAATAAATGATATATGAATGAAAACCATCAAAAATCATCGATGTTCGAGAAATTCAATTCATCGTGTAATCATTTCATGTGCAACTTCAATAGTGTTTCTATGGCATACAGCCTTTCATCATTCTTGTTTCTTTTATAAACTGATGGCGAATCGGTAGTTATAAACAAGTGCAATGTTTTGTTTGAATTTCAAGGCAAAGCAGTGTTGACTGAGCATGAATCTATGTAATCATAACACAGCTGTTTGTCTCTTATTGATTTAGTCAGTTGGTTGGTTGTGCTTTGTGCTCATGGAAACGCATAATAAAAGTAAGTTTTAAAGAACGATTGCAATGCTCTTAATGCTCATGACGTATGTGCTTCTAACAACATGATGTTGAGAGAAACTCAAGAAATTGAGTAAGCAAAAAAAGGAGCAACCGTTGGCTGAATTACGTAAAAGAAGATCCACACAAATGGATGGAAGTGACGAATAGAATCAGCTAGTTGAAACAAATTACAAAATGGTCTTTAGTCATATAACAAATCTAACAATGTGCAGATATATGTGTTCACTTTCTAAAATGTGAACTAGTTGTGTTAGTTCGAAAATCTTACTTTTCTTAGACGTTGAGCGAAAGACTTGAAGAACACAACAATTCTAACCTTCTGATTGATTGAAAGACTTGCTGATTTGCAATATATTGTTCATAATAAAATGATTTAGTTATTGCTGAAAATTATGAAAAAAAAATGATCACCAATTGCCATTTTCAGCTCTTCGTTCGAACAACAACTTTATGTTTTCTAAAGGGTAGTCCATAAGTTTCGACCCCTCTCTGTAAATTGACGTTATCTGTATTAATACATATATAG